CAGACAAAACACACACATAAAATAAAAATGTATACATTTTCTTAAAAGAGAAGGTAAAGGTCATTGCTGGATACACACTGAGTTTGAGGATAGCCTGGACGACATGAGACCCTGTCTTCAAAATAAGACATTATGCATTATTAACTATTAAATACTATTTTTTAACTGGAAAGGAAGTTGAATGATATATCAGAAGAAGACACTAACTTAACTGGAGTTTGTCCCCAGGACTTCAAGTCCAGTGCACTGCTAGGAATGGTTGAGTGGAAAGGGTTGTTCTGGGCAGCAGAGGGGAGGTGTGAGGGAAGAGGAATGGAGGCAGTGTGGATGTTTGCTCTCCCACCTCTAAACTGCTATGCTGCAGAATAATCCTTCTGTACACTGTGACTATGTTTTACTCTCATTGGTTAATAAAAAACTGACTGGCCAGTAGCCAGGCAGGAAGTGTGGGTGGGACAGCCAATCAGAGTGCTAGGAGGAAGAAGGGTGGAGGCAGTGAAGTCGCAGGAGACCCAGAGGGAGCAAGAGATGCACAAGGACAGGTAAAACCCTGAGCCATGTGGCAATACATAGATTAACAGAAATGGGTTAATTTAAATTGTAAGAGCTAGTTAGTAATAAGCCTGAGCTATCTACCAAGCATTTGTAATTAAGCCTATCTGTGGTTACTTGGGACTGGCAGCTGGGAAAGAAAACTCCACCTACACTCCTACATCCTCACCTGGGTACCACAACCCCACCTGAGTCCAGTGCCAGATGCTCCAGCCTGGCCTCTGTGAGTGAGGCCTCTGTCCTACACCCTAGGATGGTGGGTATTTGGGTTACAAACAACCTATGACAAAGGTAAGGGGTGTTCCCTTGGGAGTATGAATGGAGTTAAAGCTGCTGGGTGTGAACAATGCAAGCCAGATAGGACCTCCTAGCCCCAGGCTCTGTCACTCATAGGGCAGGTCTCTTAACTCTCAGGGCCTTTGCTCCCTGCCCTGTAAAACAAGGACAACCATGTCAATAAGAGCCCTTGGAGGGTCATGTGACAAGCTTTGGCGTGTGCACTGAGCTGGGACCAGCAGAGGAAAGATGCTATGACCTGAGGGGGCACCCCGGCCACCCAGGAGGAAGACTTCAGCCTCGACAGGGGTGAAGAGCCCAGGCCTCATTATGTTTAATTGCTTGTAACGCAAGCCCCTTAACACGCTCACCCCCATGACCTGCACCTCCAGGAAGCAGCTTTACCATCCTCCCGTGACTGTGTGCAAGCAACTTATTCCCAGAGCCCAGTACGCAGCTCTCAAATTGGCTCACGATTTCTCGGCAGCTTGGATAAAAACATTTTAATGGCCGTGTGCAGCACACACCCTGAGTGTCGCTCACGGGCCTCCCAAATGTCTTTTCCTACCACATAGCAGGATATGATAGGCGTGAAATTACAGCCGCTCTTTCAGGTTTATCTCCACCCAGAGGCCTCTGTGAGATGCTGTGGCCGACCGACAGCGTGCGGTGACTTTGATGGAGGTGGCCTGGGCCCTGTCCACAGTCTCGGCTCCTCTCCTCACTATCCTGGGAGGCTCTCTGCACTCCTAGATCTGGGGTCCCATCCTGCCTCACTATTAGCTGTCACACCCTCATGATACAAAGGGGACCTGGGCATTGAACGGTCTCTACTCGCTTGGAGGGTCTCCGAGACACCAAGAAAGGAGCCAGGCATGGTCAAAGATAAGATATATTGTGAGGGCCTGTAATTTTGGAAACTGACCTTGGCACAGACATATTTGAAGAAAGTTGTGGAGTTGGGGGAAGCATAATTAAAAATAAACAAAAAAGCAACAAACAAACAAACAAAAAAGCCTCTCAGGGCTGGGGAGGTGGCTAACAGGTTAAAGACCTTGTGTTGCAAGCATGAGAAATGGAGTTCAAATTCCCCAAATCCGTGCAAATGCTGGGTAGGTGTGGTGGCCCACCTGGAATTCTCCAGAACAAGCTGGATAGACAGACTGGTAATAGCAGCAAGCTCTGTGTTTGATTGAGAGACCCTGCCTCCGTGAATAGCAAAGAAGGGCAATTGAGGATGACTCTCAGCATCACATGCAAATGCACCCACGTACATGCACTCATCACACAAGCAAACATGTACACACACAAACATGGAAAAATAAAAGTAAAATCTCTTTGAGCTGGGTAGGAGTGCTCATTCTGTGGTCACTACCCTGTGGGAATGCTGGGGCTTGGCCTTGACCTAGCCTCAGTGTCTCTGTTTTTCTTATCAAATAACAGTCGTCAGGACAACAAAGCCTGTAATACTCTGGCGATCAAGGAGAGCACAAAGGCAGTAGTTAAAAAAACCTGCTGTGGACACGTGAAGACTGGAGTTCGAATCCCAGTACCCCTGTTTAAGCTGGATATGCTCTGAGTGTGCCCAACACAGAGGCAGAGAAAGGAGGACTGTTGGGGCTTGCTGTCTGCCAGTCTAGCCACAAACTCAAACTTCCAGTCCATGGAAGGAGCCTGCAACTGGGCCAATAGTTATAGAAGCACCTGATGCCTTCCTCTGGGCTCTGTGTGCACACATGGGCAAGGACACCCAACACACCTATCATCATACCCCCCCCCCCCCGCTCCAATTTTGATTGACAGTTGCTGAGGCACTGGGTGCAGACCCCACAGAAAGGAAGGTATACTGTCATAGTGACCTCATGGGTGGGTGGCATGCAATGCCACTGAAGGGAAGACTTCTGCAGGTGGCATAAACAGCGGGTGGCTGCTGCCCTTCTCAAGGCTACCGCAGCTCCTGGCTCCTCCTCCCCGGTGAAGTGCAGAGACAGGTGGACTCTAGATAGGAGGCCCTGGGAAGTCAGAAAGGCAAAACACTCCCACTGTCCCTGCTACTACCAGAAGCACTCCAGGCTTCCAGAACTTTCACTCCTCGGATGACTCATAAACACTGTAGTCTACGAAAGAGGCATCTACAAAATATTCCTCAAAAGTCCAGCTGTGTTGCTCAGTGGGTGGAGCATGCGCTTTGCAATCATGAAACCCTGGGTTCAGTCTCAGCACTGGGGAGGCAGAAGCGGGAAGCTTAGGAGTTCAAGGTCGCCCTTGGCTAGACAGAAAACTAGAGGTCAGCCCGGGCTACATAAAATCCCGTCTTGAAAACAAAAATAAACAAACAAAATGGGGTTCATGATAGTCTTTCCTGCCTGGTTAGTTGTAAGGATGGAAAGACATGGTCCGTGGGTATGTGTGAGCACCTGGCTAAGTGCCCAGTGGTCGCAGAGGGACTTGGCCTCCTCTGGGGCCCCCCATCCTAATTAACACGTCCTCCTTCCCGTGTCCTCTTTGCCCATTGCCCTCCTCTACTTCCTGCCAGCATCTGTCAGACACCTGCCATTGTATTGCTTCATCTGCGCCTGTGTCTGAGGCCTGGCTCACACCCTGCACTGCAAACACGCCAAGGACCGGGACGTAGGTTTTGTTCAAAGTTTGTCCCTGTGTCTGGGCCCGGAGCAGGTGCCCTGGATGCTCCATAAACATTTGATGAGTAAATAGTGGGACCTGTCTCTCTCATTGAACTGGGAGCCCCTTGATGATGCAGGCTGAGCTGTGTTTCTTCCCTGGGGTGGTCAGCGCAGGGCTGAGCTCTGAGCATGCTCTGTCAGAGGAGCCGGCCGGTCTGCCCAGCAATGCCACCTCTCCCCAAGCCACGGTGGTGGGATCAATGTTGCTCCGGAGGTCTGGCCTTTGGAGGTTTTCAATTTCCCTAGATCGAGGACTTTCCGCAGGGCCTTTGTGTTCTCATTGATTGCCAGAGTATAACAGGCTTTGTTGCCCTGACAAATATTATTTGATAAGAAAAACAGAGACACAGAGACTGGGTCAAGGCCAAGCCCCAGCATTCCCACAGGGGAGTGGCCACAGAATGGCGGTTCCTCTGGCAAGAGCATCATGCTGGTGGGACTTCTGGAGACCACTCACAGCAAGGTCTTGCATTTCCAATGGGGAAACTGAGGCTGGGTGAGGGTTGATCCAGCCAATGTCACATCAACTAGACACAGATACTAGTACTCTGTCCCCTGTCACGGCTGCACAAATTAAGGCACAGAGCCAGGGTGAGAGCCCTGGAGCCCCATACTCAACCCAGAATGTTTTCTGACTTTCTGGCCTTTCTACACCCCTAGAAAATGATGGGGAAGCTCAACCAATCACATCTGGTTAGGGTGTGGCCACCTGGAGTCCGAGGTAGGGTAGGTAGGCGCACCCGCTCTCAGACCTCCCATTCTGGTAGCGTGAGTCCCCCCGCTCCTTTTGTAATTATTAAAAATGTAACTGTTGTTCTTGAGCTGGTCTGGTTATTTATCGTACCGACCAAATACGTCAACAAGAAAAGCCCTGGGAGGAGCACGGGGGAGGGTTCGTATTACAGCTGAGGTGCTGGGCTCCTTCCTTTGAGGCTCCTGGGCAGTCATCACCTGTAGAAGATGCTCAGGGAACGTGCTTCTCAGGGCTTCTGCTGATACAGCCTTGGCCTCCGCTGGGGAAAGCAGCTGCAGTGGCCACAGACTCAGGGCCTCCCTCCGCTAGCCATGCTATGCCACAGGGCCTACAGCTGTATGGCTCAAGGGACGACATCCCCTGCCAACCTTCTATAAATGTGGCTCAGTGGCTGTGGTAGCCTGCTGTCTCAGGACAGCAGTCATTCTTTCCTCGGTGACTCATTTAGTCTAATCCATAGGCAGCCTGTCACACGCCGAATACATGAGGATCAGGGACAAGGCACAGGCACAGGCTGGGAAGAGAATGGGTCCTTAGCAAGAGGCTGTTGGGACCAGGTTCCACAGTCACAGCCTTGTCACAGTCTGACCTTTTCCTCCTCCCAGCAGTAGATGGGAGAGGGTCCCGTACACAAACCACAGGGATTTGACAAAGGGTCCCGGGACAGTTCCTGTGAGCCTGCAAGTGTGTGCATGCACACGCCCACGTCCCTCCTTCCCGAGTCACTGACTCACCCATGACATTGAGGAAGATGTTGCCTGAGGCGAGGACCACCTTCTCCCTGGTGGCTCTGTCGTAGATACCCACGTGGCATTCATAGGGACCGTTGTCTGAGATCCGGACCTCAGGCAGCCTGCGGGGGAGCAGGTGAAAAGGTTAGGCTTGTATCACAAGGATGAGCAGACAGTGTGCCAGGAGGCCAACCCCCATGCACACTTGTTTCAGGCTCCACTCATCCACTCGGTGAAGACTTTGCACACCTGTGGTCTGGGCTGGGAGGATGGGCGGCATTTATGCAGCACCTACTGTATACAGGCTCTGTGTCCGGTGCTGCTAAGGGGGACAGTGAGTGCTATGTTTGCCCTGAGCTAAATCTGTGCCCAAGAGCAGCTGCTGGGCTGGTCATGTGACACTCTTAGGATGCCCTGTGGGTGACGCAGGTTTCGAGGGTGACTACCAGCATGAGGCCTGACCCCACTCGTTCCTCACAACTACCATTGTCTTACTGTTCTATTACTGTAAAGAGATCCCATGACCAAGGTAACTTCTAGAAGGAAGCATTTACTTAGGGGCTGGCGTATTGTTTCAGAGGGTGAGTCCATGATCATCACGGTGCTGAAGTAGTAGCTGATCTGAAGGGAGGGGGCATGGAGAGAGTCTGGGCCTGGCATAGACTTTTGAAACCTCAGAGCCCATTGTAGTGACACACCTCCTCCAAGGCCACACCTCTTAATCCTTCCCAAACTGTTCCACCAGCTGAGGACCAAACAACCGTTCCCATGTAACCTATCACAGCCACAATACAGGGGTTGATCACTACATTCCATAAAGAGGAACACTATGGCACAGGACAGTCATGACTACCCCACCTTATACAGCTAAGGTGTAAGATGTCACCATGAGACCTTGGAGTCCTGCCTTCATACTGCCATACTGCCATGGACACCATATGCCCAGTTCCAAGGACACCAAAAGAAGCACAATTATGTTTCTGTCTCCAAGGAACCCCACGCCCCACCCCCCGGACAGGGACAGAGGAAAACTGACCAGTGCTCACACTCATGCTTCAATATGTGTGCTTAGCAGAGGGTAAGAGGACTGAGGGTTATTGGCTCTGCCTCCAAGGTCCCCAGACCTATTGTGTGGGAGTCCCCCCTAAACTTCCTTCTTGCCTTTGCATTGGAAAGACTCAAGAGCAAATATCTCAGGCTTTGTTCCCCATTGAAGTTGGTCTTGGGGCTGGGGAGATAGCCTGGACCTTTTACAGAGGACCTGAGTTTGGTCCACATTGGATAATTCATAACAATTTATAACTCCAGCTCCAGGGGAATCTAATTTGACATCTCTGACCCCTCATGTGCACACCCACCCCCAAGACACAGAAACACATAGGCAGATTAACACACACACACAAATACACACATGCATGCACACACACACAAATGCACAAACACGCACACGTGTGTGCACACACACACATACACACCCTTGGATGTTGGGAGGGATGAATCAATGGTTAGGAACATTTGTTGTTCTTGCAGAGGACCCAGGTTCTATTCCCAGCACCCATATGACAGCTCATAACTAACTGTAACTTCAGTTTCAGGGGATCTGACTCCCTCTTATGGCCACTACAGGTACTGCACACACATGGGGTACATACATATATGCAGGCAAAACACTCATACACATACAATTAAAAAACAAATCTAAAAAAAGTCTCAAATCTGATCTCTTGTAATTTTTCACTGTTTCCTCACAACACACAGACAATTGAAGAGAATCTGTCAACCAATCAATGTGCAGGGTTCCAACAAAACTTTATTTGTGATTATCAAGCTTTCTGCCACTCAGAATGTTCATGTCATAGAATATACTCACACTTTTTTTTCTCCTCCAACCGTTTAAAAATTGTTAAAACATTCTCAGTTCACAAGCTGTGTCTAAACAGACTGGAGTCTGATGACTCCTGTTCTAGATCTTTCTACAGGGTCTACAGGGTCAGGTCATTCTAGAATAGATTGGTATGCCATTCTTTTTCCTGGGGTATGGTCATAATCAGGGCACCCCTTTCTGCTATCTAGGCTGCAAAGAACCGAGTTCAAATGTTGCTTCCCCCTGTGTGGAATCCATGGAACTTTGGGAAAGCCATACCTTTGAGTACCCTCTTTCTTATAAAAAAATGGAGATGACACATCCCGGGACTGAGTGAAGACAGACTTCGAGAAATACTTGCTAGCACTGCACCCACCTGTCCAGAGGCCATGGGTGACCCTCACCCTGTGATGCCCCCAGAGGAGAGAATTCCTGCCAAGGAGTATCCAGGAACTTTGGTCAGCAGAAGCCTCAGCCTGGTACTACACTGGGCAAATTCAGATCTCATCACATCCCAACCTATACTGGCCTCTTTCTGAGCACTCTGCATTTCCAGAGCAGGGAGAAAGCCAGGGGAGACACCCGTATTTGTTCATAGTCCTCTGCCACCTAAGCAGCCTAGCCCTCCTGCAGAGGCCTATGGTGGGAGGGGAGTGGAGAGGCCTTTATCAGCTCAAGGTTCTTCCCGGGCGGGCGACTCCTGAACTGGGAAGCTCCTTCCGAGCAATCCTTCCTCCCCCCCCCCCCCCTGCCTGCTCCGAGCTTCTCTTTCATCTTGTAAGAGCAGCTTAACCTCAGGTTCCAGCCTGTCTCAGCTTCTTTTGCTTATGAGTCACTTCTATGCCCCCCCACAAACCACTCCCCCCCCAGGCTCCCAGCCTCTTCCTAGGCTGTTGTCACTTTGAGCTGAGCCAGCTCCTCTAGCAGCCCCTCCCTCGCACAGCGCCCAGCACTCATTAGCATAAACAACACCCTTATTTCCATAGACTCCACAGAGGTTGCCATCTGGTCTCCTCACTGTCAGGAGGGACTGAAGTGTGGGAAGCGCCCTTTCCGTGGGGGGGGGGGGTTAGGAGTGATGCTGCCCCCGCCCCTTCCACTCCTTCTCTCAGAAGGAAGTGCCTGCCTTGACGGTGGGAACAGCAGGGAACCTGTCTCCCCTGGGAATGATTCCCTTTGTAATGCAGCTAGATTGAGAACAGCGACGTGCTGGCTGCGCCTGGGAGCTGAGTGACAACCACCCTAAGTGACATGTTTCGGCTATCCTCACAGGTGTCTATTATGCAGTCGACCTGCTTAAGTGACTTTCGAGGGAGACAGGTGCAGGGGGTGTGTAAAGAAACGGGCTCAGGGGATGGGCTCCCGGGTGACGTCACCAGATAGTAGGGGCACGGCGGAGGCGTGCAGGTGACCAACCCGTGGGCGGCTATGCAGATGTGTTGATGTGACCCCAGCACTGGGGACGTGTTTGGGAGTCACTCCGCTGATGACATGCTCAAGTAACGGTAACACAAGCCATGTGTTTGGGTGATGTGTGGTTGACACCTCGCAGGTGGTGTGGGAGACAGCTCAGCGGACACGTGGTGGCACGGTGCTTTTAAAGAAAAGACAGCTTCCCATCTGGGCCTGTTCCCACAGCTCCACTCGGTGCTCCTCCCTGGGCTCCAGGGTTTCTGCCTGGCCTGGCTGGACCGTTAACCAAGAGCATTCGCTCGGCACAAGCGTGACGGTTCTCATGTCCCACGCTCCCAGGCAGTGAATGGATAGGTTCTGGGCGTCCACCTCTTCTCGAGTCCTGAGCTGCATTGTTTCCCCTTCTCCACTCTGTCCCTGCCCCCGTTCCCTCCTGCAGCCAGGCTCAGGATTTAAGTGGGGCTTCTCTGTACCTTTTAATGCCCCTTCCCTGCAGAATCCAGACCAAGTACTCCCCTCTAAACCGCTCTGAAAACCCGCTTTCAGCCTTTGGAAGAAAATGGCCAAGAACTTCCCACAGAGCCTCCTCAGCTACCACAACCCCTCCCTCCCCTCCCTCCAGTCACAGTCCCTCTGTTCTTGGTCCTTTCTTCCCGCGTACACCTTGTTCCTGCTTTATAAGATAACATTTTTACTTCGGATAATCTTAAATCATGGGAAAGTAGCCAAGATAAGAGAGTCCCCGGACACCTTTCTCCTATCTCAGCTACCATCTGAATCCAGACGCAGCCTCATCCCCAGGCTCGGCCCGGCTCTCATCTCCGATCCGAAGCTGCCAGGTCACAGCTTTGATCCACACCTCACCGCCTGTCTCCTTCATCAAACCCTGAGATCTTGCTTCCACCGTTGTCCTCGGAAAGTGGATTAAGTGGCCCAGAGCCCACCCCGCCCCCAGCCCTGAGCCACATTGATCCGGAAGGCTGGGTAGAAGGTCTTCCGCAGGCAGCAGGGGGCCGAGGGGGTGGGGAGGAGGCCGCTCTCATCGGTGATGGCCCGAGATCAGATCGATAAACTATTAATAACCACGGCGTTTGTGTGCAGATAGGGGCAATGCAGTTTAGCGGCTGGAGTTTACTAACACTGACGGCGTCTCTGAAGGGCGAGTAATTGTGTTTGTGAAAAGCTGGGAACGGGGAGCACAAGTGTTGCCTTTGCTTGCTGTTCTGAGCCTCATCCTGGGGAGGATGAAGGCTGGACACTGCAGCGTGGAATGGGGCGGGGACAGGCACCGAGGGCCACATCTGCACACAGACTTAGACCTACTGTGTGACCCACATCTAGACCTACTGAGTGAACCACATCTAGACCCACCATACGTCCAGGTATCTCAGTCTATCATGTACTCTGATATTTGGATAAGCTGTGCACCTCAGGATCCAGGCCTACCATGTGGCTTGGACTCTAGACCTACTGTCTGCCCTGATCTATGCTTATGGTGTCTAGACCAACTATGTGCCCTAGCATTTAGACCTACTGTGTGCCTCTCAAGGCTGAGCTTGTGGTGGTGTGGAGATATTCACCAGCTACTTTATCCGTACTCCGAGAGTCTCCCTCTTATCAGAGCCTGTTGAATCAATAGCGACTCCCAGCTCAGTCTCAGCCCCGATTGGGACCTCCCAGGAGAGCATGCGACTTCTGTCAGGCTCAGGGCACTACCTAGGGCTGGTGCCTCATGAGTATCCAGTGACATAGATCCTAGAGGCAGGTGGAGTTCCTGAGCCGCCTCTGCCAGGAAGGCTGCCCTGACTGCTCATCCTTTGTGTGGACAGACCCAGCTCCCTCCCT